AATTACAGTTATGAAATAGCAATGAAAATAATTTTATGGTTGGAGGTCACCACAACATGGTGGCCACGCCCACTTGGTGGCCACACCCACTTGGCAGCCACACCCACTTGGCCACGCCCCTGGCACCTGGGGTCACCACAACATGGGGAACTGTATTATGGGGTCACGGCATTAAAAAGGTTGAGAACCACTGTTCTAGGTTTTCCTAGGGACATTCCACAGCTTTAACAGAGTTAAAGACCTTTCTATAGTCATTGAAGCATATGTTGACTTTTGGGAGGGGGGTATTTTTTGGTTTTTCTCAATTATCCAGTATGCATCAGCAGTTTTATCTAGGGCTCTAATTTGTGTTGGATGATCCTAAGTATTTTACTAATGCATCCTTTAAATCTTTTTTCTTTGAAATTAATCTGTAATCTCTTCCAATCTATTGATCACCATATTCTTCAGATTTGCTAGCAAAATTAGATTAGATTTTTTATTGATTTTTCTTCTCTTCCTTGACATTTTTGTCTATTGTAGATAGTCCATCAATTCTGTAGCCTTCTTTGTAATTACAAGAATGTGCTTCTAATTTCATCTTCTAAAAATACAGGTTATTATAATTAGGGAATATCTACTAAGATATCTTGGATGTTGACTTCTGTGCTGTTCAGAATTTCATGTCCTTTGATTTGCTTTTAGAGTGCCTTAAAGTTCTTTATTTTTGCTTTTTAGAAACTAACTTGCCTGCCTATATGGTAACAACTACGACTGTTGTCGACTTAGTATTCTTAGAAACTCTCCAGCAATGTATGAATTTCATTTTTCAGGCTTAACAATTGCTATGTTTGAAACTGAAATGTGGAAGGCAACTAGATTGGAGAAGGCTTCAGTAGACAATGTGGATTAAAATCAAATGGACGATCTTTTCACACTGATGCCTATGCGAAGATAGTACTTAGACTTATATATTGTTTCACAGTGCTTTACAACTCTCTCTAGGGCGGTTTACAGAGTCAGCATATTGCCCCCAGCAATCTGGCTCCTCATTTTACCGACCTTGGAAGGATGGAAGGCTGAGTCAACCTTGAGCTGCTGGCAGTCAGCAGAATTAGCCTCAATACTGCATTCTAACTGCTGCGCCATAATCAGTTTCTCTATATGTAGCCATTAGATTACATTCGGCCTTTCTTTATTAGCGAAGAACAATTTAAGTTAATTACGTTATTTTTCAAATACCTATAAAACAGCTACTTAATTTTCCCCTGATGAAAATAAACTGTTTTAATTTACGCAATAACTATCACATTGTACTGTAGATTACCACACATAGGATTTCATTTTTGCCTATTTTCACAACAGTGAAGTTGGATCAAGAAAGAGGGAAACAATAAATAGGCTATATAGAAAACAAAAGAAGACAAAATTAGCCAGTGAATCAATTCTTATTTTCTTCTAGCTTATTTGAATGATGTAAAAAAGAACTGATACATAGGAATTTTTTTTAAAAAAATGTTCCATATAACTGAAAAGAACCCAGAATAACATACAAAGTAACATGAAAACTAGATAAAAACTGATTATTTGAATGAAATAAAGGAAGAATAACACTGCAATTATGAATTCACATGAAATAATAGTCAGATTTGCACTATTGCTTAGGAATACATCAGTGCATCAGCTTAAAACAACCGGTTTAGGTTGTTTCCTTGTTCTATACCAGGAAGTTGATCGTTCTCTGTTTCTTTAATTTGCAGGTCTCTCAGTTTTACCTCTCTTTATAACCTGTTGAGAGCCAAGCTGTGTCCCTATTTCTATGTTTGCACTTATCAGTTCACTGTACTGTTCCGTGCAGCAGGACTTGCTGGAAGTGATACGATCACTGCATTAATTTCTCCCACAACCAGAGGATTAAGGGAAGCCATGAAAAATGAAGGTAAAGAAATTATGAACAGTGTAAAAATTCTCTTTGTCCACAACCAAGAAAAATTATTATTATTNTCCCAAGGATATATCCAGCATTGTAGAGCAACATTAATAAACTTACCCCAAAGTATACAGGTAGGTTATGCTGCTTAATGCTGTTGGATTAATGAACTGGAATCTGCAGTCGATACAAGAGTCAATTCAAATTGCAACTGGTGAACTTATTTTGGATTGTTATATTTAGTTCTTTAAACACTTTAAAATCTGAATGGCCGGTCATATCTTTCTAATTCACCTCTATTGCCTATTTCTCAATGTTTATAGCTATCTAGTGAACAAAACAATAAAATCTCAATTGTACCATTTTTAGGTAGGGATGATTTTAAGAAAATTTTAATTGACACACAGCTTCTAATATTTGGCTTTTAATTTGGTTTTATGGGGTTTTTTTGTTTTTTGATGTATTTTGTTTGTCTGTTTTAATATGCTGTGCACCGCCCTGAGTCCTACGGGAGAAGGGCGGTATATAAATTAAATTATTAAATTAAATTAAATTAAATTTAATGTTGTTGAACAAATTTCTCAGTATTCTATGAATCTGAGGGGGATGTCTTAAAGGGTCCTTATTGAGTTATCTGTGACATTCAGGATGTTACATCATGCAGAAATATGCCTGTGTTTCAATGAATGGTGCCAGTTCCCGGAATCACTAATATCTTTTTCTTAGACAGTTACGAATATCACTTATGGAGGATTCAAATCATGCTAACAGCAGGCAGATTTATAAATTCTTGGAAAAAACAAGTATTGGGGAACTATTTTAATTTGGATAGGCTAGGGTATGGGAGTAAATAAACCTTACTTGCCATGATAAACTGTTTTAGGAAAGGGATGATCCTCCTAATTTCTCAGTATTTTTGGTAAAGTGTTGTATTCTTTGTTGGCTCAGACAACACTGCTCTTGCCTGCTCAGCGATTCTCAAAATGACTAACGCTCAGCTCTGTAGTAATTAAGTTATAGAATTCTTCAAGACTCCAACCTATCTTTAATTCTTTTTAACATCTACAGTATACGTAGTTATTTGCATATTGATACGGAGCCAACATGTCACATCAGTAGCTTGTTGACAACCAAATCTGTTTCTCTGTATCATCTGAGTATTTGGACACGAATGAATCCTGACAAGATACTGCATTATGTTTACATGGGATCTAGAGAGATTACCTATTTTGGATGAAGCTGCATACCCTCTGAAAACTTAAGCACACAATATAGCACTGCTCTAGAAGCCATTTTTTTAGTGGTCTCAGATATGGATTCTTTGATAAAGCATTTCTTCACTATGCATTTTTTGGACAATACAGCTTATAGTAATACTGTTAACTTCACAGTCACCATGTGTAACATGTACGTTAGCCCAGAAGATGCAGCCCATGTAGAATATTGCATCTTCACTGACAACTTACTTTGAGTAGATTGCACTGCTTGGAAAAAACTGTACTAAGTGATAGTTTGTTGCCAAATGAAATTCAAAATTATTTTATAAGCATATAAAATCTACAATAGCGTAGATCCTTAATACCTACTCTGCTTCTTTTTCCTATAGTGCAAGCCCAACATTTATTTATTCAATTTTTATGCCATCTTTATTATTTAATAAGGAACTTAAGGCAGGGGTCCCCAACCTGTGGACCGCGGCTCACTACCGGGCCGTGGCCTATTGGCCACTGGGCCATATGAGTGGCTGGCTACTGCGTGTGTGTGTGTGTGGCACACTCACTCCCCCCTCGCACTAGTGTCATGGTGAGTGTCGTGTGGACGTTAGCCTCACACGCACGCTTTCCCTTTCCTTCTGGGCTGCAAACCAAGAAAGGTTGGGGACCTCTGACCTAATTTACTTTTCCACCCTCTGTTCCCCAAAATAGCAACCCTTTGAGGTGAATTGGACTGAGAGTGTGTGACTGGCCCAAGGTCACCCATCTGGTTATATATTATATATAAATATTTTATATGAAAATAAAATTTTCAGAATATTCTCTCCTTATTCAATTACAGTTAGCATCAGCACACATACTTTTTTTTTTTGGAACCAGCTAAGGTTCCATTTCTTCAGCTAGACTTTTAATTAAATCTATGTTGCTATGTCTCCTTTTTTCCTGATTTATAATTATTATGGTTACAACAAACTAAATAGTAGTTTCTGTATATTAAATAAATTATTCCCTAAAGTTAGTTTTGCTAATATAAGGTATGTCATATTTTCATGTGTCTTTAAAAGGCACACAAATACTTCTATATAACTGTAAGTATGAATAATTGCTGCCTTTATATTTTCTTTTAGAAAATAGCTATTGTTAACTTCTCCCAATATGTTTTGGTACAGTGTAAGATATTTTATCTTTGATATAAAATCTGCTTCTAAGAAATGTTCTGAATCATCATCACAAAAACCACATAAAGGTTAAACTTTATAAAAACGGCATATTCTGTTTTGTGGTAGACTAGCTGTAGATTTTTTAAAAATTTCTGTTCCCCTTTACAAGAAAAATGGCAAAGCTTCCAAATTATTTTATTATGTACCCTTATCAGGATAATTGGCATTTAAATGCAAACAAGCTATTTAAATAAACCCTAATCTGTATAAGTAAATTGAAACCAAGGAAGAGTTGTTTGCAGATTATGGCAAGGTGCAAAAATATTAAATATGTTAACTTTGTTTTATAGATTATAAACATTTGTGGACTTAAAATGGAATACTAGAAATTGCTTTTTGATCCCTTGAAAAAGTGGAAATATATCATAATGCTGCTATTCTCTGTGTTTTATTACATGACTTTTTCTAAAAATCCTTTTCCAATTATCTTCTTTATACTTTTCTTCAAAACTACAGTATGAATGAAAGTGCATCCACAGTGATCTTGGACAGCATCTTTATCCAATATAGTTGATGGACAGGAGGATGTATTATGCAAATTGAATCTAGTGTTATAGCAAGTTGTTTTTAAATCAAAGCAACATTACAAATAAGCCATAGTACATAAATGCACTAGAATACTAACCTTATCCTCCTCCTCTTAAAACATGTTCAACTTATAAACCCTTTGGATATTTTTTTTGATAACTGGGCATTAATCCAATTGCAATTCATTTCCAGTTGTGATCCAAATTTGTATTAAAATCAGGTACTGTTGAATCGATATTTCACATACTGTATTTATTTGCTTACCATATTTTCTACAAGATTCACTTAATGGCTTGCAGGTCTATCTCAGTCTTTGATGGGTTTTGAATGGCTGAAAATAACTTAAAAATAGCCTTTTAAAAATGTTAATATAAGTTCTGTACTTTGATATTTAGGAGCCAAAACTTTCCACAGAACTGCGATGTGCTTTCCAGCAAAATCTAGTGTATTGGCTTCACCCCTTCTTCCCATGGCTACCACTTTTTCCTCGAATTGGAGCGGACAGAAAAATGGTTGGGAAAAGTCATCCTTGTGCCTTTAATGAAGAACTCCAACAAATGTTCATGAGTGATTGGTAAGTTGAAGTTCTTGGAAATATAAAAAGCTAAGCATACGTTCCTTTGTTCTGAAGCGTATTTTCAATAAGGATCTTTTTTCTAACCAAAATCTGCTTGTGTTCAGGCACTTAGATCATTTTCTGTGAGAGGAAAGAGGTATTTATTTTCATAGTTGCTATGCTTTTATACCTCTAAAAAAGCAGATCGTTACTAACGTGGCTTTCTGTAAAAGGTAATTCTGTGACTGTGCACACTTGCAGAATATATTACCGTAACACATTCTATATGTGGCTGTCCTTGAAGAGCACTTGGAAATTTTGGTGCAAAATGTGGCTGTGTGGTCAGCTAGCTGCCCATCTAGATCAGCAGATGTTGCTTTGTAAGCTACATTGGTTGCAAGTTTGCTTCTGGGTTCAACAAATTCTTACATGGCATGGGACTGGATTATTTGAGGGTCTACCTCTCCCCAATCACATCTACCCATTCCATCAGATCCAATAGGAAGGGCATGTGACAGTTCCTGTCCAGAAAGAAATTATTATTATGAAATGTATTTGCTGCCGATCTCATTTCAAAGCTACTCCAGGCTTCTTACAACATAAAGACATTAAAATCATCATACATAAATATACCCAATAAAATCACAATACAAAAAGAATAAAATCACCGACACAAGATGCGATTAATAAATAAGATGAAGAAGGAGGCAGCCAGAGGCACAGGGGAGAGGTGGGATTAGATCTTAATTAACCAGCTCCAGTTTGAAGCTCCCCCAAGTGTCATCTGACGGGACCCAGAAGGAGAGTCTTTTCAGCCATGGCACCCACCCTTCAGAACATTATTCTCCCTGCGGTCAGATTGGCTCTAATCTTGCTTGCCTCCCAGAAGGGCCTGAAAACATGGCATTGCCATCTGGCATGAGGATCTGGTAACAGATATAGAGCCCACAAAATGGCTTTATTACTAAAGAAATTGAGTGCACTCTCCCAGAGATTGGGGTTTTTTTTAAATTGTTTGTAATGTTTTTGTTGTTTTACTTTGTTATTTTGTTACATTATTTTAAATTTTTATCTTTACATGGTGTTCGGAGTCAAGTATATGAGCCGGGCCGCTATATTGCATTTACCAAATAAATAACATTGGATGACTGATTAATAGATCAGGTGTCATTAGGTTAGTGTTAACTCCTAGCAATTACATAGAGTGAATCTCTTCAGAACTATCTGTCTCAACTTGGCGCTTCAGGTCCTCCAACAGGATATCCATCTGCCCTGTAAGATAATCCATCCACCTTGCTGCCAGCCATTCTCTTCACCTCATTCCTTTCATCTTCTCCAACATTACAGACTTGTCAAAGAAGCTGGATCTTCACATAATATATCCAAAATACAATAATTTGAGCATGTCATTTATGTCTCAAGTAAAAACAGATTGATTTGTTCTGAGATCCATTCATTTGTTTTCTTGCCTGTACATGGTGTTCTCAAGAGTTTTCTCAAACACCAAAACTCAGTCCAACTTTTGCTTCCATTGAATGTCATAAGAAAAACCATTGCCTTATTCAAATAGAGGTATGTTACGGTATCTGAATTTATTTTCCAAGGCTTTCATTGTTGATCTATCAAATCCTAAGTTGTGATATATTTTTTGATTTATGACTCCTTTATTGTTAATAGCTGATTCTAAAAGGCAGAAACTTTCCAACACTTCAGTGTGTCATTGTCAGCTCTAAGGCTGGTTGCTGTACTTTTTGTCATTAATCGAATTGTCTAAATTTAATTGCAGTCTCATTTTTTTTTACTATGCTCCTTAACTTTAATTACCAAGAGCTAGATCATTTGCATTTTCAGCTATCACAGTACTGTCATCAGCGTAGTGCAGGTTATTTAATGCTTTCTTCTCCAGTTTTAAAACCATGTCTATTTTTTAGCATTCTAGACTCCTGCAATATATTCTGCATATAGGCTGAAAAGAAAGTATATAATCTTTTCTCACTCCTTTGTCAATCTGGAGTCAATCTGTCTTAGCATGTTCCATCCAGACAGTGGTTTTTGGTCCGGAAATTGGTGTTTTATATGAGGACAATGAAATGTTCTAGGTTTTCCTAGGGACATTCCACAGGTTGACATGGTCAACAGAGTTAAAGACCTTTCTATAGTCATTGAAGCATATGTTGACTTTTGGGAGGGGGGTATTTTTTGGTTTTTCTCAATTATCCAGTATGCATCAGCAGTTTTATCTAGGGCTCTAATTTGTGTTGGATGATCCTAAGTATTTTACTAATGCATCCTTTAAATCTTTTTTCTTTGAAATTAATCTGTAATCTCTTCCAATCTATTGATCACCATATTCTTCAGATTTGCTAGCAAAGTTAGATTAGATTTTTTATTGATTTTTCTTCTCTTCCTTGACATTTTTGTCTATTGTAGGTAGTCCATCAATTCTGTAGCCTTCTTGGTAATTACAAGAATGTGCTTCTAATTTCATCTTCTAAAAATACAGGTTATTATAAATAGGGAATATCTACTAAGATATCTTGGATGTTGACTTCTGTGCTGTTCAGAATTTCATGTCCTTTGATTTGCTTTTAGAGTGCCTTAAAGTTCTTTATTTTTGCTTTTTAGAAACTAACTTGCCTGCCTATATGGTAACAACTACGACTGTTGTCGACTTAGTATTCTTAGAAACTCTCCAGCAATGTATGAATTTCATTTTTCAGGCTTAACAATTGCTATGTTTGAAACTGAAATGTGGAAGGCAACTAGATTGGAGAAGGCTTCAGTAAACAATGTGGATTAAAATCAAATGGACGATCTTTTCACACTGATGCCTATGCGAAGATAGTACTTAGACTTATATATTGTTTCACAGTGCTTTACAACTCTCTCTAGGGCGGTTTACAGAGTCAGCATATTGCCCCCAGCAATCTGGCTCCTCATTTTACCGACCTCGGAAGGATGGAAGGCTGAGTCAACCTTGAGCTGCTGGCAGTCAGCAGAATTAGCCTCAATACTGCATTCTAACTGCTGCACCACAATCAGTTTCTCTATACGTAGCCATTAGATTACATTCGGCCTTTCTTTATTAGCGAAGAACAATTTAAGTTAATTACGTTATTTTTCAAATACCTATAAAACAGCTACTTAATTTTCCCCTGTTGAAAATAAACTGTTTTAATTTACGCAATAACTATCACATTGTTCTGTAGATTACCACATATAGGATTTCATTTTTGCCTATTTTCACAACAGTGAAGTTGGATCAAGAAAGAGGGAAACAATAAATAGGCTATATAGAAAACAAAAGAAGACAAAATTAGCCAGTGAATCAATTCTTATTTTCTTCTAGCTTATTTGAATGATGTAAAAAAAGAACTGATACATAGGATTTTTTTAAAAAAAAAATGTTCCATATAACTGAAAAGAACCCAGAATAACACACAAAGTAACATGAAAACTAGATAAAAACTGATTATTTGAATGAAATAAAGGAAGAATAATACTGCAATTATGAATTCACATGAAATAATAGTCAGATTTGCACTATTGCTTAGGAATACATCAATGCATCAGCTTAAAACAACCGGTTTAGGTTGTTTCCTTGTTCTATACCAGGAAGTTGATCGTTCTCTGTTTCTTTAATTTGCAGGTCTCTCAGTTTTACCTCTCTTTATAACCTGTTGAGAGCCAAGTTGTGTCCCTATTTCTATGTTTGCACTTATCAGTTCACTGTACTGTTCCGTGCAGCAGGACTTGCTGGAAGTGATACGATCACTGCATTAATTTCTCCCACAACCAGAGGATTAAGGGAAGCCATGAAAAATGAAGGTAAAGAAATTATGAACAGTGTAAAAATTCTCTTTGTCCACAACCAAGAAAAATTATTATTATTTTCTTTTTTTATAGGTATTGAATTTGATTTACCATTCCAAGGAATTAGACAAAAAAAATTCAGTGCTGCAGCTTCTCCTTTAGAAACAGAAGATGAAAAAGATACTGAAATAATGGGCAACGAAATTGAAGAGTATGTAATCTAGTGCTTACGGTGGCTTATTGTGCATTTCTCTTAGAACTATTAGCTCTTGTTCAAAAATTGGTCATTTATAAGTACTTTTACTATGTTTTGCTACTCAGAGAATTGGGAGTGAATGGTGGCGATGGCAGTGATGATGATGATGATGGAATTTTATGGCTGGTGGAAATGGGAGTCGAAGACAAAATTAAAAAACCAGACACAATTTTTACCAAATTGTATCCTTTAAGAGTTAAAACATTTTCCTTTAATCAATGGCCGATAGTTTCCCTAAAATATGCATTATATTATATGCAGTCTAGGACTCTAGATGATATTAGTATCTGTATATAGAAGTACTGTAGTGGCTGCTGCTCAGATAATCAAAATAGCAGTGATCATTTTTCAGTTTCTTCAAATGGGTGGCTTCAGTTTATCTGGGTTCTTTTAGGAAATTTCCTTCCCCACCCTTTCCCTTAGAACCTGAGGTTCTGTGTCATAGTTGTCCCATTTTTTTCTTTCTGATTTTCTATATTTCTGGGAATTCATGACATTTTGTTAGTTTTTCAATAGTAAATTATTTTTTCTGGAAAGTTTTGAACTTTGTATACTTTATTAGGGGCACTCCATATCATCGACTAAACACTTGTTTTTGTTTTCAATTTAAATGAATAAGACAGGGCCAGTTGTACATGGCAAGCAGTAACCTTTTTTCAGGTGGAAGTATGTGAGTACATAAGTCTGTAACCAAATCCCAAAAAAATATGGTGGAAATCTGCTGAATATATTCAGGAAAAATGTGATTAAGATGCTGGGCAAGAAAGCAGGAGAGTGTAAGTTCTAGCCCCTGTAGGCATGAAAGCCAGATGGAGGACTTTGAGCCTGTCGCTCTCTCAGGCCAACCCACCTCACGGGATTGCTTGGGGGGCTGGGGGGAACTAAGAGATAGACAGGCAGATAGAGGATACATTTTTTTAAAAAAGCTACACTTATTTGTTCTCTTGGGCTTAGCAGAACTTATTCTTAAACAAGCATACTGATGAATTGACAGAATAAAAATGATTTTATGGCATTCTTTATCATGAATTAGTAATTCAAATTCAAATTACCTGAATTTGCAGGTTTCTCTGCAAATGTAATTGCTATGTATTTGCGATAGGTATCATGATTATTTAATCAAATGTATTGGAATCTTAAGTATATACAGAGAGATCCTCAAAAAAAAGAGACTAACATTGATGCATTTTATATTTCCCATTTGTTTCATTTTGTTATTTAATTGCATTTCCTTTCTTTTTAATCTCTTTCCCATTTTTGTTTTGCGAAGAATGGGAAAAATGTGTTTGTTAAATAATCCTGGACTCACTGAGGAGCAAAAAATCTTAATGTGGCAGGAAAGCATATTTTGGTTACTGTGGTAGAGAGAAGCTCACAACTATAAATATATGTTAAATAGCATATTTAAATATCGCAACTATTTCTATGTAATACTTTTAGTCTGTAGTAATATTTGGAATTCTCCTATACAATAGCAAACTTTGGTTTTATTATCTTTGCAAGCCTCCTTCCACTACAGATTTGCAAGGACAATAAAAAGCATATGTAAAGAACATTTATTTGTCTTATTATTATAATGCAACTCTTTTCCCACAGATAACTTCATATTAATCTACCATTACTGAGTGTATGAGTGTATGTACTGTGTATGGGTATGCATCTTCCTTAACTGTCTATGTAGTTCCAAAGAAAAAACTGAGATGAAATTGGATCACAGGCCTGAATCTGTAGTGTTAGTAAAAGGGACCAATACATTCACTTTGCTGAACTTCTTGATGAATTGTAAAAGTTTGGTGGCTTCTGCAGGTCCTCAGGCTGGAATCCCTCCAACATTGCTGTCCCCAGTTGCTTTTAGAGGCGCAACAATGCAGACACTCAAGGTAATAAATTATGAGATTATTATTGTTGTTGTTATTTGTACACTTCAATCTATCGTAAGTACTATGATATAATATACACTGTCCAATTCCAGAGAAGAAAAATAGGATGGGTAAGTGATGCATCTATCACTCACCAGAAGCTTCTGAATGAACATTTATTCTGGCAAAAATAAGGGATAAAGCTGATTCTCACCAATACCCTTTCCTTTGCTATCCCATTCACTATCTGAAAATCTATTTAGATTAGTTGGGAGACCTTTCAGAATTATGCAAGAGGGCAGCAGAAGATATTAAAGGGAAAAATAGGCAAATACTGGTTTTCTTCAAACTGTTTTGTAAAATGCCCTTTTTGAGAGCTCCAGCATAGGAAAACGCAGGATCCAAATAAATATAACACTTAGAAAATGTACATTATATTAATATTGCTCCTGATTGCTAATATAATGTACATTTTGCTCCATTCAACTCAAGACTATCTCCTTTCCAGTTCTTGATTCAAGGTAAGAAATTAATTTATACATGTGTCCTCATTTAACAACCATTCATTCATCAATTGTTTGAAAGTAGGACAGTGCTGAACAAGTTGAATTTACAAGCAGTTCTCAAAGCTGTAGCCCTTGCAGCACCACTTACAGTCACATGGTTGCAATTTGGGTGCTTGGCAATCAGCCTTCATAATATGGCAGTGTCCCGCAGTCGCATAATCGCCATATGCAGCTTTCCCTGCTGGCTTCCCACAAAGTCAATAGGAAAGCTGGTAGGAAGCTTCTGGCAGTGTCCAGCGTGGCCTTCTTTTTCCAGGTGTCCTTGTTTTTCATTGTCAACCTGCTGATGGCCCAAACGTAGCAGAGGATGAGAAAAGGCAGTGGAGAAGGAGATCAGGCCTGGGGATGGGGTGGGGGCATCACCATCCTGCCTAGCCACTGTTGTTTCCTTACATGCTGCCATCCCAAGACCCTGCTTGAAATGAAGCTTGTGGTTTTGGGAATGGTTCTGACAGGTGCAGAAGGCTTTCAGGGTCTGTGTCAGTCTGGAAGTACTGCATGAAGAGCTGCCTTGACACCTGCCATCCATCCATGTGATCAGGCTTAGGAAGAACTGGCGGGCAGTCTCTTGGCCTGCTCTTGGGCCCATCTGGATTGGGATTCATGCCCCTTGCCTCCCCCACTCGGGGGGCCACAGGATGCATGGAGGAATGGGCCACTTGCAGCTCAACGAGCACAGTGGAAGACTAATACAAGTGTGCCTGCCTGCAGCCCTGGTTTGCTCTCCCCCTCCAAAATGCAGTCCACGTTCCTCAGGTCCTCTGGGCTTCTCAGGGAGTTGATGAGAGGTTTGCTCCAAAGAGGGGCTTCCTGTTCTGTGGAATTTGGGCAGCCAGCTGAGCCCGTTAACATTCTTGTTCAATGACGACAACTGGAATTGCCAAAACTGCCATCATAAGTCGGTGCAGTCATGTGAGTTTTCGGCTTTATGACCAGGTCTGTTAGCAACTGAATTGTCAGCCCCAATTACTGTCGTTAAGCAAGGGTCACCTTTATTTTAGAAATGGCAACTTGTCCTCTGTGTTTATTCAAGTACCTGTAAAATTTATACAAGATTGCAAGGGTTTTTAGAATTTAAAAGGAACTTTGTGTTTTCTAGCACTAATTTCGAAGATGCAGACCTGAAATGTAAATTTATTTTTCACATTTTTGAACCACCCATCTCCCTCGAAGGATTTTTTTAGTTGCTTGGTGACTTGGCTTTTATTTATTTTAGTTTCCTACTATTGCTCATCCAAGTTACTCTAATTGGTATGCTCAGATGTAAACTGCTGCTATTTTGGGTGTGAATATTAACTTTGCCTGGCTTAGTCACCTATTTTTGAGCACATTTTTACCAATAAGTCTCAAATATCAGTTGTCCATGGTAAATAACACTCCTTTGGTAATAGGAGCAAATATAAATTGCAATTAAGGATTTTTTTCTTCCTCTTTCCTAGGCCCGAAGCATAAATGTGAGAACACAAGCCCATTCGCATTATAAAGATCTATTTAGCTTGGAGATTGTGGGCCCTATTATGCCCCATTGTCTCCATTCTTTGTCAATGCTACTGAAATCTGCTCAAAGGGGAACTTTCTCCGCTGTATGTTATACTCATGAACCAACAGCTGTGTTCAACACAGGTATCAGCAACAAGCAGCATATGAAGGTAAATACTTGCATTTATCCTAGTTGGGGGGGGGGAACCACTTATGTAAATGACGTGCTAATATGTTTTTCTCATGTGGTTATAACAGCCACAACTTAGATTTATTCACTACAGGCAGAGAAACAAACTATATTGTCAGAACACCAAAAACAGGAAGAAGAAATTAAAATGACGCCATTACTTTCTATTTTGGCTGGCTGTAATTAAAGGCCATTCTTCATCTAGATGAAGCACGCTTATGTAACCTGTTCATAAATCATCATATAAGAACAATATGGTTAAATTTTGTATTTTTTCCCCATGGATTTGTACATTGTTTTTGTTTATCCCATTTTTCACAGGAATCTTGTATCAAAGGACTTTCCAATTGTGGATTGCATCCTAATACTTTAAATCAACTTACCCTTAATTCAACACTAGGAAAATCTTCAATACGACTTCTAGAAATGAGTGATTATCTCTACACATGGAAAACCTAAGCAACTAAATGATAATTTAAAATGGAGCACTTCCTTGTACTCAATGAGAATAATTTTATTCATTAATAGACTTTTTTGTATATAATGCTTATATACAAAAGCTCTGTTACTTTTCTTAAACTTGTAAATCTGAAGTATACATTTTAAATTAAACTTTTAAGAATTGGACATTTATAATTGTATGGATCTAAGGAAGACAATTGGGTGAGGAAAAAATGTTGCAATACTCCCTTCTACTGTCCATGGCTTTTTCCTTTATTATATATGTCACACTTCTTAATACAAATGCTGACGCCTTCAAAGCATCCATACTAATAGTTTTAACCAGATCACCCTTCAGGAAGTGGCTACTATTAAATGGACATGAAAGGCACCACAGCTTGCAGCAGCATTTCAGAAATGAAACAAAGATGGTAAAAATGGTAATTTCATATTTTAGGCAGTACTGCCAAAAATCTCTGGGATAGAAAGGCTTTTTAAAAAAAATAATTTTAGTTGTTACATGTTCATGCAATAACTTGAATGAGCTGTGAACAAAACACAGAATTTGATCTGTACACTAGAATGAATGGCCAAATAAGCAAGGCACATTATGAATATGGACTGAAATTAAAGTATTCCTAATATTTGCAGTTCAGATGTAGACTGAACTGGATCCTTGGATCCTTTATTCAGGTTCTCAACTACCATAGCAAAAAACTACAATGATTCTGTTAGTAGCTAACTGTTGCATAGTAATTCAGAATTACTTGGGGAGATGAAGCATCTAAACTAATCTTCAAATGTAGCTAATTTGATAGACATAGTAATAAATATAGTAATGATTTCACCTTCTGCCATATAACATCAACCTTTAATTAAAGGCCAACTAGAAAATAGTTCCAACTTGCTCTCAGCCTGAATACATCAATAATATGATTCTTTAGGTTTAAAAAATCTTATTAAATTATAAAGCCTAGATTATTTAGTTTTTATATTTCAGATTATAACAAAACTGCAAATCACTACTAATGACTCTTGTTCCATTTGATCAAAATGTACATTATAATATTCTGCTAAGTGGCTGGTAAATAAAATGAAGTTATACAGCTTTATTTGACCAAGCGGAATACAACAACAATAGCATCATACATCCTCATCCAATTATCGCTGAATTATTTGTTTACTACAAATGTGTATAATCAACACCAGGTATTGTGTGTGAAATTAATTACAATTTCCTGTTTCTGTTACGAAAACATGCATTGTTCTTATACAATCATTTTCATAAGACATTCTGATAGAGAAATAATGGATAACATTATCTAGCAAAGTTGTTGGATTTTGCTTTGATTCAAAAATTATTGAATTTTTGGGTCCAATACGTATCTAGTAGTTGTAGGCTTAAAAACTACATAGTTTTAAATAAGCATAAATGAACTTTTCCAAAACTATGGGAACTGCATCGTACTACAAAACTGTAAACTACCATATTTATATTGAAGAGAAAGCTAAAATATTAAAGCAAATTACAGATACTTTCAGACTCACATTAGATGTTTAGTAATTTAAGAAATGATGGCGTGACTGAGATCAATAATATACATAACTAAATGAATTAAATATATTTGCAGGTACAAAAGAAAAGCCTGAAGGTGTCTGTACAGTTTTTACAACGAGATGCTGATGTATTTACAAAAGCAGAACGAAATATCTGTTATACAGAATAGAAATGTTTGAAATGTTAAAAACAATAGTTTAGTTATGTGAGGCACTCCTGAAGTTAGTGGTGTTTGCCAAGAGCTCCTTTGGTACTAGTCCCAATGCTTGGAGAGCTACAGTGGCTGCTGTGGCTTTAGCATGCTTCTTGTTTGGGCTGACAAAACTAGGTTTATGTTCAACTCCATTGACCATCACCTATGAGGGAATAAAAGGAAGAAAATAATACTTTCAAAGCTGAATATATTTTTCCTTTTTTTAAAAAAAAAAAAAGTGAGGGGGGACGCCACCGTATTCTTTACAATATTCAGATGTCATTTACAAATGATTGGCATATTTTGGGAGAAAAGAGTGCCAATTTATTTTTGAGCGAAGCTTAAGGATTGGCCACAGAAATTAGGTAATAGTTCTTAAGCAATAAGCATGCTTTCATTGGGTTAAATCCAAGAGTTTTCTCCGGCAGAATGACTTCATTTGAGGAAGTCTTCAATCAGGAAGGAAATGTTGGACCAAAACCTTTCTATTTAGATGGCGAAATTTGATCTATCTGATATCTCTATGTATACTTTTTTCATTTTATTCTAGTTTGAAAAATTAAAGGGAAGATAAGGTGCCCAGGATTATTTCTTGTTTGCTGAGGTAACTTTGGGTAATTGTTCTATATTCCTATACCCAGTAAATGGTAAATCAAAGAAATAATACTTTCAAATTGGGGAGCTTATAAAGGGCTCACTGAATTCTAACATCACAGACTACACATAATATTCTAACTAGCTTTCACAGAATTAGGAATCAAGTCAACATTTTTATATGTTATAATTACAACTTACCTTAAACAGGAAATGTTTGCGATATTCAGGACGATTATCATTCACCAGTACAAATACAGGTGGAGACCATCTTCTTTTATTACAGACTTCCAGCAAAGCTGATACTGGATGTTTGCCTTAACAAGAAAAAACATTTTAAAAAAAGTTTCCAGGTACATTGTAATTAGAACTGAAACACAAGGAAGACCGCTGTATTTTTATACAAACCAATATTTTTTTACTCTAACCAGAACAACTATTGGGAGTCTCAGACTATTTATCTCCTCAAATGCAAAGCACATATCTATTACCCCAAGTCTTACCTGAAAGATCTTTCCCTGTACTAAAAGGCCCATGTCTCTTTTGTGTTTTCTCTCCCACAGCAACTAAGCCTTGGAAAAACAAAAAAAGAATTATAGATTTGTTGTGTGTGCTCATTTCTTTCCTAATGCATTTGGTATTTAGTAACATTTTTATATTAGGATCACACCTTTTAAACCAACAAGTGTAAATGGAGAAACTACTAACACTTCAAAAAGAAATGCCATTTCCAATCGTCGCTCACGGCAGTTTAACCAATAAACTCATATCATCATAATACAATGTCTTACCATTTTTTCTCATATGCAAGTAATTTTAATTTTAATTTCCATTAAGCTTGTGATTCAGGAATCTACCTTCATTCATCTATACCACAATAGTAGACTGTAGGGTTCCATTTATTACATTCAAAATATGAAGAACATGTACACGATTACTGTGATTTACAATAAAGGAAGGCATCACAAAAATTATTTCTTGGAATCTTTAAAAATGTAAACAAAAAATGACTGGTATATTTAATGTATCTTCTGCTTCCAAAACTCTTATGCTCAAAATACTGTTTGTGTATATATGCGTATATATGTATAGTCAAAAGATATCTGAATACTTAGTATTTTAGGTTTTTAATAAAATATGACAAGCCAAAAAAAAAAAAACCCTAAACTTTAAAATTAACAGTTATGAAATTACAGTGGTACTTTGCTACTCATTATTAATTGGTTTCGGAAGGCAGGATGAATATCAAAAATGAGTACCAAACAAATGTTTCCCATAAGGAATAATGTAAAGTCAGAAGGGAGTCAACAGTGATAAGTTCTAGCTCAGTGATGGCGAACCTTTTAGAGACCGAGTGCCCAAACTGCAACCCAAAACCCACTTATGCATCGTTGAGTGCCGGGTGGGTGTGGCCCATTGGGTGAGTGTGGCCCATTGGGTGAGCGTGGCTACAGTGGTAACGGCAGACTGGGTGGGACTAAAAAGTTCACTCAATCAATTCCAACTTTGCAAGATCTTTTTTTTCCCCGAGAGAAGTTGAAATTGACTGTTCGAACCTTTTTTTTTTTTTTTGTACACAGCGGTGGAGGCCTAAAGCGAAAAGGTTTTATAAAACCCAGCTGAAGGCCTAGGACTGGGGTGACGGCACGAGTGCCCACAGAGAGGGCTCTGAGTGCCGCCTCTGGCACCCGTGCCATAGGTTCGCCACCACTGTTCTAGCTTGTGCATTGAGTACCAAACAAACAATGACTACTGGGGCAAACCTTTCACGTCAAAATGTGTTGAGTACCAAATTTGATGAGTTTCAACGCGGTTGAGTACCAAAGTATCACGTACTTTATGAATAAGATATTGAGATCATAACATACCACATCACTTATAAAGCCTACACAGTTCAGGGCCAGTTAAAAGTTGGGCTTCCTATCTCCAATTGTCTCTGCTTTCCCCGCTAGAAACAGCAAAATTGCATGTTCCAAGTCCCATCTATTCTTGCAGGATCTAAAAGTTGTACTTTGTGGCTGAGCATGTCCTGTGGAATAACACACTCTTGGAATCCAAATCACCCCAATTCTGTTGGCCTTGTGCAAAGAATCAATGACCTGAATATTCCCATTAGCATTTGGGCCAGGAGGTTAAGCAAGGTGCATTGATTGTTCTGCTTAAAGCAGAATGTTTTTTTCACTCTAGGCATGTGTTGTAAAGTCATAAAACTAGGATAGTATTTTTTGTGAAATAAAATTTTACAACATTCCTGGAAATCTTAGGTTTTTGGTCATAGCAATAGCACTTAAGACTTATATACTGTTTCATAGTGCTTTACAGCCCTCTCTAAGCAGTTTACAGAGTCAGCATATTGCCCCCAACAATCTGGGTCCTCATTTTACCAACCTCAGAAGGATGGAAGGCTAAGTCAACCTTGAGCCAATGAAGATCGAACTGCTGGCAGTTGGCAGAATTACCCTGCAGTACTGCATTCTAACCATTGTGCCACCATGGCTCATACACACAAATGCAGCAGTGTATCTTCGAGCAGGCAAGAATCCCTGGTCTCACATACCAATGGTGTTGTAGGCACCACCTACATGCCCTTTTTATGGCTTGTCATGTATACACTCTCAAACTGAGTTCAGTCAATCCATCTAGTTCATGCTTCCTGAACAGAGATTGTAAAAGTTCTCCCACCTCAATATAAGATTTGGGGACAGAAGAGACAGGAATTTTGTGTGTGTGTGTGTGATCCCCAGGCAAATCTTTATCCCTGGAAATTTGGATGGCATCCTCCCAGATGAGTTAGGAAACAGTCAAGACATAATTATTTCAAAGAGCAACTGACTGTTCATATTAGAATTGTAGACTGGACACTCACCTTTCCGATCCGTTTTAAAATCAACTAAAATAGGCTCCTTGTTTCCTTCTCTGTTTTTTCCCAAGCCCTCTCCTTCTCTCCATCCCATCTTTCTCATGAGTTGGGCTCCCATTCCTCCACTAACAGGGGCAGCTCTGAGAAACTGATCCTACCCAAGCGGGAAAAAAAGGGGAAAAAAAAACACCTTTGTTTAACACACTTTTTTAAAAAAAATGTAGACCTTTCTAATATTTTCAGCAATGAATTCATTTACTTCAACTTATTTTTTCAATTACAATTCAAATCAGATTTCAAAGTATATGCATATCCTTTTGCATTCATCTAGAAAACTTCAATGGATTGTTTCAAATTAAAAAGTATAATTAAAACAAGCAAAAACTTATTTGTATAGATATACTACTTACTGAGTTAAAACAGTCCTTTACCAATTACATTTTCAGAAACAATCTGGGCCTTTGAAAACCAACTCCCTCACAAAACTCCTCATGCATGATAGAAGCATCTTTAAAAGAAAAAAGCTTAGCCATACAGTTCAACAGTAGCACGGGACAAATGTTTTGAAAACCATATAAAAATCATATTATTAGTTGAGAGTATATCAACTCTGCTAAAATGCTTTCAGCTTTATAGTTCTTTAAAAACTCCTTAAACGTTTACGTACCTAGGCCTCGATGGCTGCAGTGTTGTGAATAGTAGGGCTGGCAT